GCCACTTACAGGCTGGTTTCCAGCCATTTCCAGCCATTTCCAGCCTGGTTTTAGCTGGTCAGGCTGGAAAATGACCAGCTAAAACCAGCTAAAACCAGCTTGACCAGCCTGGTTTAAGCTGGACATAGCTGGTTTTGGCTGGGCTCCCAGCCTGGCAAGGGTGGTCAAGCTGGTTTTAGCTGGTCATCTCCCAGCCTAACCAGCTAAGACCAGGCTGGAAATGGCTGGAAACCAGCCTGGAAGTGGCCAAAACCCCCCTAAAACCAGCCTGGTTGACCAGCTAGAACCAGCCAACCAGCCTAGGCTGGTTTAAGCTGGATTTTTCAGCAGGGTAGCCAGACATTGTTCATCTCTGGCCAATAGTTGGCACTGTGTTTTCTGCAGAAACACTAGAATACCAACATGGGCTCATTGTGGATACTTATCCCTGTATACATTTCTGGAGAGTGCAAATTATGTAGCCAGAGCTATGTTATTGCTGCATTGCATCCTTAAAATGAACGATACGGGGTGGTATGATACCGCCGACAGCTTCTGTTGCTTTCCACGCTACCAGCTGACCTCCATTTGGATGGCCTTTTCTGCTGTTAGTGGCTCGCCGTAGACTTGACACACAGAGTGGAGTTGACCACCAGGGTTCGAGTCTGAAGACCAGTTTCAGAAAGCAGGTAAAACAAAAGGCCAAACATAAAATAAGCAAGTAAATAGGAGAGTGAGAATGTGGTAAGAGTGTATTAATCAGGCGAGGGCTTTTCTTATTCTGGATTGCTTTGGAAAACACAGTCGGTTGGGTTTAGGAAAGGTGGTAGGTGGGGGTGTCTGTTGGTCAATCAGTCAGTCAGTCGACCTCTGGTGGATTTACGAGAGACGCACGATAGAGAAATTTGAGATCTGAAAAAGGTGGATTCACAAAAACGAAAACTGCAAAAAACGTACCTCCTGGGATGCATTGGCACTCTTCAGAAATGAATATAGGGGTACGTATCCATAACGAGCCTGGGTTGACAGATACACTCCTGTAGTTCATCGCTGTTGGGTTGCCAAGTCCTTATACATCACACATGATTAGCAGTCCCATTACCTCACTGTTTTCAGTTTACTTCACTGTTTTAGAGTTTAATATGTCAATGATAATGATATTGTTTTTAAAACCTTGCCCTTTGAAATTAATTGTAAAACGTTTAAATGCTGTTGTCATGGAAATAAGTGGCCAAAAGGCATAACACGTTTTATATATATATATATATATATATATATATATATATATATATATATATATATATATATATATATATATCTATGTATATATCTGCATATACATATACTCCTATGCCTCTATATCCCATCGATATACTCCGCCCATATACAGCCAGCAAAAAGCAGACACTACAGATCTACAGTTTAAAAGATGCTTGCTCAACTGTTTAACTGTCAGCTTATGATTTGAATCCTGAAGAAAGTAGTTCCTCATACAAAAGTTTTTTTGAGACTCTCCATGTTTGATTTTGTTTTTATATACACAATTATGCCGTCAAACTGTTGTATAAACGCAATATCACACTCGTAGCAGTGTGATATGGCTGTATCGGCCTCGTGCCACACACGCCTCCCACCAGTGCCGATATACAGCCATATCGCACTGCTACTCGTGTGATATTGCTCATATATATATATATATATATATATATATATATATATATATATATATATATATATATATATATATATATATATA